TACCTAAATTACCTAGAGTAAGCTGCAGTTGCTTTCAACTCAATCATAAATAGATGTTATCTCAATTTTGAATTGTCTAACTTACATGTATCTTTTGAGGGCTCCTAGAAGAGCATGCCTATATTGTTACTACCGCATCGTTCGGTTTCATTATTGCCAAACGAGGTGTCTTCTTATGGTTGAGAAGGAAGCCTTGAATCTGAGCGGGTGAGAACTGCCCATTCGGGATATTTGAACTGTATTGTTGTGCAAGTGTCTTCAACTGGGCCATATCCGCCACACCATCCAGATCCGTAGCGATGCTTCCATGCCGCGTGTACATTGCAATGAAAATTTCCTCCACCTGTTCTCTAGTTGCATTCTTAAATTCGACATGAAGATCTACTCTCCCAGCTCGTACCAGGGCGTCATCTAGGTTTTCGGGGTGATTCGTTGTCATAATTAATATATGCCCCTCTCGAGCATTTGGTCCATCGATGAGATTGAGCAGTTCAGATAGTGGTATCTCTTTTGACTGCCCCGACGAATCTGCGTCTCCTTGTCTTTGCCCGACACCAGCGCAATCGATATCTTCAAGCAGAATGATACAGCATGGGGGGGCCATATGAAAAAGCGAGTCGAGTTGGCGGGGCTCGATGCCTTTTAAACTTGTCACCACGCATAGCTCAAGGCCGAAGTGGCGGGCAATTGCGGATGACATAGACGATTTGCCCGTACCTGGTGGGCCAGAAAATAGGTAGCTGCGACGGTATGGAATCCCATGGTCGGCATACCAAGCCGCAGTGTCCGGACTTAAGTATTTGCCTATATTAGACAGGAGATTGGTTATCGTCTTGCGATCTACCATAACACTCTCTATAGGCCTCCCTCTACAGATATCCGTGGCCTAATAGAAATGTTGGCTATATAGCAACGATTTTTTTATTTGTTCGAAAGTCTCTACATAAACCATGAATCCCCGACCTCGCCACCATGCTAAACAGGTTTTACTTGGGACGAGTTCAATATCCTTCCTGTGTCAGTTATATTTACCTATGTAGTTAGTAGCTAATAAGTACGTGCTTACCTTAGAGACTACGGGGCTAAAATGTAGTTCTTTCCTGGCCTAGATTGGATAGTGGACGCTGCTGGCTATAACCGAATGCAAAAAAGAAAGGCCGTGTTGAGATTTTAGCCAGTAGATAAATGGCCTGTGCAAATCATCCGTATTGTGGATATACACGGTAGCAATGAGGCATTGTTGGATAATGTTACTTACCGATCCCTGGATTTGTTCCTAAACGCCCAGAAGGTCTGATAATTTAATGAACAAGCTGAAAAGAAATCCCACGTTAACTTTGCGCCCTTTGAGCAGTGAGAAGTAGCGTGAGACAAAGTTAAACCCAGTGACTAATTTGTCAAGGTGTGCCATAAGCCGTAAAAGAAGAGCCCAGTAAGGCCTATTAGGCCCCTAACTCGGGCCAGCCCCATTGCACACTCGTGTGTGCATTGATAAACTTAGGTACTGCAAGGATTATGAGTACTCTTGTTAGTCACCTAGGTACCTAGGTGGGACAATTGGATCCTGCCCATATGCAGCGCGCCATCGTCCAATAATGTCTGGCCAGATAGAGCCTAGGCCCAGAAAGTGATGCTGGCGGGTGGTTGTAGAAAGCAGGTCCCTTGTCTGGCGAGCTAGGGTATCTGCTGAGACGTAACCCCCCTTTCTGATTTCGAGCTCGCTCATGGAATGATATATGATCAAATTGGTGTAGCCAATGGGAAGCCATTCCATAGAAGTAGCAAGGGCTCTCCTCCATGCGTTGAGGGCGGGCTGGACTTGGTCGTTTAGATGTTGAATGACCGCAAGGCCCATCGCAATCGACAGGTAGTCCATCGTCTCAAAGTAGGTATCAGTACGCCACTGACGGATAAGATCCTCGTAGATATTATTCGAAATTCTTAGCGAAATACGATCTATGGTTCCTTCATGAAGCCACGTGTGCATACACTTGAAGAGGTATGCATGGGCTAGAGTAAGTTTAGTTCGGCCACCCCTCGCTGTATCATTCACTGTTGTGACGCGGCTTTCCAACAGTTGGATTGCTTCCTCGTACCTGTCAAGCTCACAGAGCACCGCACTAAGCAGCAACACCACCCCACCGGCGTCTCGGGGCAATGTCTGTAAGATATGATAGGCTTCTTTAAAATAGCCCTGGAAGCGTAATATCCTAGCGCGCATTAAAATAACCTGCTCATTACGTGATTTTTCTAGAGTAGAGGGGTCACCGTATGTAAAAG